CGATCTGGTTCTTCCAGGATCCCGCGTGCAAAGGACAGACGTTGGACGTTTTCGTGAATGGCCAACAGAGGTGCGCCTTCCATTCTTGCTCGCCTTGCTTCCATGCTCCTATGCTCTTGATGCCGCTCGTTTGCTCCCCCACCTGATCAACGATCGTTGCACTCGTGGCGCCCTCCCTCCCCCTGTGTGCAGTGAGAAGCGCATCTCCGGTGCAGCAAGGTCCGCCCTCTGCCTCGTAGGTGCGTGCGTCCCCTCTTGCCCTCTCTCGCGCCCGCCTCTCGCGAGAAGCCGCCCTCTCTCTCTCTCTCGCTGGCCTCGCGCTCTCACTGCACAGTCCAGTTCGCTGCGCTGCAGAGCGCACGACGCGAGTGGGTGGCAGGCTGCCGCGCCTCATCTCTGCATTCGCCTTCCCCCTTTCCCCCCTTCCCCGTTCCCCCTTTCCCCCGGTCCGCACGGCGCTGTGCGGCAGACAACATGTGTCGGTATGCGCGCTGCCCTGCCGGCTCTGACACATGCACCCCACCCACGGACGACCGCACGGCAGTGACGTGCGCGTGCAAGAAAGGCTACAGCGCGGTCAACAACAAATGCCAGCCTCCCAGTGAGCTTCGTATGGTTTCGCTCCGCTCAGCATGGTCTCGTTGCCGCAACTCTCTCCTCCTCCGCCCTCCCTCGCCTGCTCTGCTCTCTCTGAATGCTTCCTTGTCCGGATGGACCCATGTGCTCACCTGGCCTCCCTCTCTCTCTCCTTGCCTCTGCTGCAGAACCCTCGTGCCTCACTGCAGGCTGCCCTGCCAACTCCGAGTGTGCCAAACGCACCAGTGGCACTGGAATGGAGTGCAAGTGTAAGGCGGGCTACAATGCAGTCGGTGCCACCTGTGTGCCAGCAGCAAAACCTGGCACCACCACAACCCCGTCCGGCACCACCACAACCCCGTCCGGCACCACCACAACCCCGTCCGGCACCACCACAACCCCGTCCGGCACCACCACAACCCCGTCCGGCACCTCCACAACCCCGTCCGGCACCACCTCAACCCCGTCCGGCACCACCACAGCTTCGTCCACCACAACACCTTCAAGCGACGCTTCAGAATCTTCCAGCAACATTGCAGAATCTTCAAGCGACATTTCAGATTCTTCCAGCAACGTTTCAGGACCTTCCAACTACGTGTCAGAAATTCCTCCTAGCTACGTTTCAGACTCTTCCAGCAACGCGTCAGATTCTCCTATCTACACGTCAGAATCTCCCAACTAAACTCCAGAACCTTCCAGCGGTGGCAACTCCGTACCATCCTATTCCTCTACTTGCGCCAAGCCAAATCAGTCGCCACATCTGAGAAGAGTTGAGGGACGTATTGCGTAGGGACAGGGATTGGTTGCTGTTGCTGTGCTTCTCAGACAGGTTGGAGAGTTAGTTGGTGAACTGTTCTCGGGAAGGTCGTTGAGCAGGTGCCAGGCAGGATAGCTGGCAAGTTCTCAAGAAGAATAGAAGCAACCAATCTGGTATCATAGCAGCACTGCGTGTTATCAGACCCTCCCTGTCCGGGCTGGTTAGATTTCTCCTGTTCGCACCCCCACTTCTCCCCTTGTTTTCTCTTTCTAGGTTTGTTGTAATCTTTGTTTTACCCATCTAAATATTTGTTTCTGGATCTTGTTGCAATTCTACACATGTGGTTTCAAATCATAGAGATGACCCTGCTTTTGACCTTTGTTTCTGGTGGCTTCCACCAATTCACTCTAGTTTTCACTACTGTCAGCACCATCACTTAGGAGCGTGATCAGCCATTTTCAATTTGCTGTTCGTAGCTATACCAGATTATATCATTACACAACATTCTAACCTTGTTTGTATTTGAACCAATAAGCGATCTTGGCGATATTTTGGCGAAGTCACCATTAGTGGCTGCATGCAAGGGAATCACCAGCAATTGTTGTTGTCAGATTCTTGCGATAGAGACTGTCCATATCGGAGACATTCGATTGCCTCGCGTCGCGTCACTTGTGTTTGTGTGTCCCGCGCCCTCAGAACAGAACGCTTGTCTGGCATCACATCGGAATTATTGTTGTGAATGGGGTCTTTACAAGATCCGAAGTCAGCGGGAATGGGCCCTTCCGTCCTGGTGTCCACAATAATTTTGCCGAGCACGACCCTCGTTCCACTCCCCCATTTTTTAGCAAACATTGTGCTGACATTGAATGTGGATCCTAAGTGTTGCGGAGAGACCTAACATTTTCGACTTCAATAATTATGTCCAATAAATCCATTTCCATTTCTGTTTTCGCCAGCGTTGTCACCTTCGCACACACCTCAGGAAACGCTTATTCCAAGGCGCGCTGGCGACTAAAGAAACGCGTTCCCTGCAGCGACTCCTGTCGCAGCGGTCGCACATGGCCAAGGCCTTGCCGCGCCCGTCGGGAGCTGCTTCCCATCACAGAGGCCCCTCGTCGCGCAGAAGCTCCGTGGAGCGGATGATGCGCCGCACGCTAGTAGGCTCGCTGCGATGCCCATTTAAGCACCCGTGCCCGATCGGCCTCGTCACCTCTTCCGCTTTACCAATCACTAGTAGCACCAATCATTCATCTAGCACCTCTTCCCGTCGGAGTTGCTCCGCTGCACATCTGCTACTACTCGAGCTATTGGAATTACTCGTGTCGTTCAAGGGTGAAGCTTGAGCACCATCCGTCCACCGGAGAAGCGGCAGCATGGGGAATGGCAAGGCCGTGCGTGCGCTGCTCGCCATCGTCGCCATCATCGCCGGTACGCTCCGTCATTCGCTCCGCTCTCTCTCGCCGTCGTCGTGCGTGCGTGCTCCCATGCGCATCATCGAGTCCACGCCGCAATGCGTTCAGTTCCATGCTCTCATGCGCCACGGACCACACCACAGTGCTCTCATGCGCACGCAATGCATTTCCAATGAACACGCCCATGCCTCCGTGACCCTCCCATGCCACGTGTCCCTCCCTCTCTTGCAGCGTGTCTCCCGCAGCCGTCGCTCGCAGCGGAAATCCCATCGGCCCCAGCGAGGATTGCCACGCAGATGACTATCAACGGCCGTCCTTTTAGCTTCGAGTCGCGCCGCTGTGTCAACATCCCCGCCATGCCGGGTGCAGTCAAGGCTCGCGTGGAAGTCTCTCGACAGCAGGGAAGCGATGCTGGCAACGCTGCTACGTGCCGCGCAATCCGGTTCTTCCAGGATCCCGCGTGCACAGGCCAGACGCTGGACCTTCTCCCCATCATCGGCACACAGAGGTGCGCCTTTTATCCCTGCTCGCGTTGCTTCCATGCTTTGAACGCCGTTCGGTTGTTCCCCACCAGACGCTGGACCTTCTCCCCATCATGGGCGCACAGAGGTGCGCGGCACGCCTTCTATTCGTGCTCGCCTTGCTTCCATGCTCGCCTTGCTCCCATGCTCGCCTTGCTCCCATGCTCGCCTTGCTCCCATGCTCGCCTTGCTCCCATGCTCGCCTTGCTCCCATGCTCGCCTTGCTCCCATGCTCGCCTTGCTCCCATGCTCGCCTTGCTCCCATGCTCGCCTTGCTCCCATGCTCGCCTTGCTCCCATGCTCGCCTTGCTCCCATGCTCGCCTTGCTCCCATGCTCGCCTTGCTCTTAACGCCGCTCGGTTGCTCCCCCACCTGACCAACGACCCGCGCACTCGTGGCGCCCTCCCTCCCCCTGTGTGCAGTGTCAAGTATGTTCCCGGTGTAGTGACGTCCGCCCTCTGCCTCACTGGTGCGTCCCCTCTTGCCTTGCCCCTCCTCCATTCCGCTCACCGCAAACTCCTCTTCCTCTCTATCGCACTCTCTCCTCTCTCTCTCTCTCTCTCTCTCTCTCTCTCTCTCTCTCTCTCTCTCTCTCTCTCTCTCTCTCTCTCTCTCTCTGTATATATATATATCTATCTATCTCTATCTCTATCTCTATCTCTATCTCTCACTCTCACCCTCACCCTCACTGAACGCTACCCTGACTGGATAGACCCACGAGCTCACCTGCCCTCTCTCCCTCTCTCTCGCCCTGCCTGTGCTGCAGAAACCTCACCACCTGCCACCGGCACCACCGGCACCACAGCACCTTCCGGCAACATTCTGGAATCCGCCAACTCCGTTTCAGAGTCTGCCCGGGCCATGCTGGAATCCACCCTTGGCGTTACAGATCCTGGTACCGGCACCGCCATTTCAGGGGTTTCTAATGCCTCTATCGATCCTAGTACCGGTAACAACACTGGCGAAGGACCTGCCGCCACTGACGCTGCAGTTCCTGTGGTCTTCACTCCAGGCACTTTCACCAACGATGCAGTGAATCCCACCAAATCCCCCGAACCTTCCGTGAACGCGTATGACACTTACACTACTGCTGCCACCGTGCCGGGCTACTGAGCTGAGCTGAGCCAACGGAGGTAGGAATGAGGTGTGCAAAGTGATCGCCACAGCGCAGAATAAATGAGGGATATACCACCGTATTGTGTAGTTTGGTTGCTTTCTAGGGATAGGTTGCTGTGGTACTGTGTTTCTCAAACAGGAAGGTGGTTGTGTTGAGCAGGTGCCACAAATGGCAGCTGGCAAGTGGAGGCAGTAGAAGCAGTAGAAGCAACTACCGTAGTAACAGCACTGAGGTATCAGACCCTCCCTGTCGGGGTTGGTACGGCAAGAATATCCTTTTAGCGTTCCCTCTTTCTTGGTTTGTCCTCTGTTTACTAATGCAGTTTTTATGCTAGTACGGCATTGAAAGAGCCGGGCTTATTTGAAGTTCCTGGCTTCGCTTGCAGTCATGGTGAGGTGAAGCAGGAGTTCACTACCCTACCATAGGTTGGATTGGATTGGATCCTGGCCAGAAGCTGTGTTAAAATTCTTATGAGCGCATGAATTATGATTAAGCCGAAAGAACTACAGTAGAACTACGGATGGTGTGTTGTACGGATTGAGGCAGCAGCAGAAAAATAGGAGTTGAGAAGCAGGCAGGATCAAGACTGCAGAACAAAGAGCATTATATCCTGCACCTTATGGGGCCGTGGGAACAAAGAACTTTGGGGGTTTGGGCCGGGCAGCCCGGGCAGATGGGTTGAAAAATGCAGGGGCAGTGGGAGCGGAAAAAAGTGGAACGGCGGGAGGGGCGGTAGGAGGGGCACCTTGGGTTGAGGAGACAGGAGGGGCAGAGAGGGGAGGGGCAGAGAGGGGAGGGGCAGAGAGGGGAGGGGCAGAGAGGGGAGGGTCAGAGAGGGGAGGGGCAGAGAGGGGAGGGGCAGAGAGGGGAGGGCAAGAGAGGGGAGGGGCAGAGAGGGGAGGAGCGGAGAGGGGAGGAGCGGAGAGGGGAGGAGCGGAGAGGGGAGGCGCAAGAGAAGGGTTGGGAGGTGAAAGGGAAGAAGAGGGAGCAGAAAGAGGCATGGAGGGAGCGAAGGAAGGAGACATGGAGGGAGGGAGAGAGGGAGGCATGGAGGGGGGGAATGGCTGAAGCGAGACACTCATGGTGGTTTCATGTGTCAGGGCAGTGGGAGGGGCAGAGGAGGGTGCAGCCATCGGTGGGGGCAGAGCAGCAGCAGCAACTGCAGCCGCAGCAGCAGACGCAGCGGGTGCACCCGTGGTGGGGGGAAGGGCAGTGTTAAAGTCAGAAAGGGGAGTGGTTGGTGGGAGAGAGTGAGCGGGGAAGTGTGTGGGAGGGGCTACTGGGGGAGGGGCAGGATAAGGATCAGAAGGATCGAATGCAGGGGATGCATGGTGTGCAGCAGTAGCGGGGATGGTGGGGTTGAGAGTAGTGGTGAGGGCGACAGAGGCGGAGGAGGAGGAGGTGGGGTGTGCAATGGGGGCGGGTTGAAAGGGGACTGGGAAGGATGCAGGGGCAATGGTGGCAGGCGGAGGTGCAGGAGAGGGCGCTAGTTGTGGGGGTATGGAGTGGAAAGGAGGAGGAGCAGCAGCAGCAGCGACAGAGGCGGCGGCGGCAGCAGCAGATGAATCTCCAGCCGAAGCAGCAGCATCTGAGGTAAGAACAGGTGTGGGGGAAGCAACGACAGGTGCTGCTGCACCGCCGGTCGCAGTGACAGCAGATGCAGCCGCAGCTGCAGCAGTGACAGAAGCAGCGACGGCAGCAGCAGCGCTGGTGGTGGTACTACCAGTAATGATTGCAGCAGGCACAGGAGCAGGCATGGAACCAGGCACGGGAGCAGGCACGGGAGCAACAGCAATGCGGCTTGCGTTCGAACCATAATTCCCACCTGCACCGCCCAGAACCCCCTCTCCTTGCACGCACTGCCCCCCCTCTTGACCCTGTGACGCCTCATCCACCGCACGCTGTGGCAAATACGGGTGCTGGGAAAGCAGAGAGCGAGGCGGAGGGACGGCAAGAGGTGCTGCAGGGGAGGCGTAAGAGGGGGATGAGGCGGGGGACGAGTGCAGGGCTGAGCGGAGGAGGGAGAGGGCGGAGGCAGCTCGGGAGGCGAGGAGGCGCAGGCGCAGGAGATTGGCTGCGAGGGAGGTGAGGGAGGAGCGCGCGGAGAGGAGGAGATGATCCGCGGAGGAGAGGGCTGCACACATCTGGAGGGGGGAGAGGGGGAGGAGGGGGAGGGGTGGGAGTGAGATGAGAGGGGAGGGAAGGAGGGATGGAGGAAGGGAAGGGAAGAGTTTTATAGCGGAGGAGAGGGAGGAGGTGGAAGGGATGGAAGGGAGAGAAGCAGGTGTGGCAGCCTGTGCGCGTTTCTATAGGTGATGCTGGCTGGCAGATGGGGAGAAGCATGTTGGTATGGGATGGATGTGTGGCGAGGGCGCTCCTTGGAGGAGAAAGATGGGGAGCGACAAGGTAGTGTGATGTGACGAAGGAAGTTGCAGGTATCCGGTTTGGTGGGCAGCAGAAAAGGGACGGTAAGGAGGCAAGGACGCGAAGGGAGGGGGAGACGCATAGGGAGGGTGGGAAGGGTCAGGAGGATGGGGAAACGGAGACTGAAACAGCAAGACCAGGGGATGTTATGGCATGCCTGGGCGTGCAGTGACTTTTGAGTCGAATCAAAAGTCACCTCAATATGAGTGGGCATGCGGCATGGTAGTTGTGGAGTCATCAGACCTGCGCACGGCACGGTATGCCATGGCATGTCACGGTGTCGGCATGTGCAACGGAAAAGACCAGCGTGAACAGACCAGCGTGAACAGACCAGCATGAACAGACCAGCATGAACAGACCAGCATGAACAGACCAGCGGAGGGGGAGGACGTGGTAGAGGGAGAGGGTATATGAGAGAAGGGAGAAGGGAGGAGCAGAGGGAGTACACTGGGGTGAGTCTTGGAAATAATGGGGGGTACGTGGTTTTGGTCAGAGTATACTTCGGTAAGAACGAATAAGAAACATACACTTCAGGGGAGTTTGAAACATTGGTGTCGGCTGTGTTGTGGAGGGAAGTCATACGTGTGGTGTACAAAAAGCTGCCTGGGAGGTCAGAGGAGAAGGCGCTGGAAGATTTGAAGCACAAAGTGCGAGAGTTCTAGGAACGAAGGTGGACTGCATCAGGGCTCATCTGACAAGAGCTCGGACTTGGTGCGAGGATGTGAAATCTGCTTATGTGGACACAACGGCGGCGCGGGAAGATGTCGCCAACCTACCGGTGGAATTTCTGGCACTGGGGGCTGCATGGGCGTGGGTCCAAGTGCCCATGCAGCCCCCAGTGCCAAAGATTCCACCGGTAGGTTGGCGACATCTCCTCGCGCCTCCCGTGTGTCCACATCAGCAGATTTCACATCCTCGCACCAAGTGCGATCTTTTGTCAGATAAGCCCTGATGCAATCCACCTCCGTTCCTGTTAAGAACCCCGCGCTTTGTGCTTCATATCTTCCAGCGCCTTTTCCTCTAACCTCTCAGGTACCATTTTGTACACCACACGTATGACTTCCCTCCACAACGCAGCTGACACCAATGTTTTAAACTCCCTTAAGTGTATGTATTTTATTCATTCTTACCAAAGTATATTCTGACCAAAGTCATATACCCCCCATTATTTCCCAAGACTCACCTTTGTGTACTCTCTTTGCTCCTCCCTTCTCCTTTCTTTCATATCCCCTCTCTCTCTACCACGTCCTCCCCCTCCCCTGTTACTCTTCCCATGCCCTTCCCCTCCGCTGCTATCCCCCCTAAACAGACCAGATGAACAGACCAGCATGAACAGACCAGCATGAACAGACCAGCATGAACAGACCAGCATGAACAGACCAGCATGAACAGACCAGCATGAACAGACCAGCATGAACGGACCAACAGGAGCCGAGCATCCATGGTACGACACAACACGCACGCACGCATGGCACGGCACGTCACAGCATGGCAAGGCATGGCACGGCACGGCGCGGCGCGGCACGGCACGCCAGGGCAGGGCAGGGCAAGGCATGGCACGGCATGTCACAGTGTGGGCGTGGCTGGCTGACCTGCGCGGTGAAGCGCGTCCATGCATGGCCGGGCTCCAAGAGCGATGAGCGGAAGTCGTCCAACGATGCCTGCAGGGGTGGCGTGAGGTGGGGTGCAAGGGAGGCACCGGGCTGAGGGGAAGGAAGGATGGAGAAACAATGCGCAAGAAAAGAAAAGGAAAGAAAAGAAAAAACAAACAAAACAAACAAAGGAAGCAAACAAGAGGAAGCGAAACGAAAGAAGATTGCCATTTTCCAGACGAGCAGGAGCAGCCCAGAGGAGGCACACAAGGCTGATGAGCGACGCGTGGTAGACAGATGGCCGGCAGGTTAGCAGACAGGAGAGCAGAGAGAAGAGCAAGCAGGATAGCAGTACCTCAAAGGAAGAGAGGAGCATGTGACGAGTGACGTGGGAGGCGCGCGCTGCATGCGGTGATGCGGGCAGCGCGAGCGGAGGCGAGGCGGGTCGCGGCAGCAACGACGGAGCGGAGGAACCTGTGACGACATCTCCATCCTCCCCTCTTGGTTGCTCCTGCTGCTGCTGCGACCGTCGCCGTCGCCGCCGCAGCTTACCCCTCTCTTGAACTCCTCCCTCACGATCGTCGAAATCTCCGCGATCGACGCGCTCGCGCGTCTCCTCCGCCGTTAGATCGCCCACCAGATCGCCGAACGTAACCAGCGGCCCGCGCGGCCCCGCCGGCGTCGCTGCTGCCGACCACATGGCTGCGAAGCGCCGAACGTAGCTCGAGACCTTATTCTCAAAGAAATCTTAACGAGAGAGAGACATCACGTCACTTCGCGTGAAGAGGACTTGGCGTTGTGGCGCAAATCGTGGGCGGACGTGTGATGAACATGATTCTAGGAAATGGCCGGGTCCAAAATGCGAAAACATGCCAAATGTCGAACGAGATTTCGAAATTACAGTGGTTGAATGCGGTGGAGGAGTAACACAAAATCTGTTGCGCACTAATATCTCGTTAATAACATCCTAGGACTGCTTTCACAGTTTCATGCAGATGGTTGTGGATACACCCATCACATCACATTGAGATAACACCTTGCAGAGAACAGTGCAAGCAGCACTGTATGCCCAGAATAGCATGTTAGTCATCAGCGGCCAACACGTGTAGCCATGCCCTGCTGTAATCACATTTATCCGCAACCCATTTCTTCTCTAAATATCACTTCGAAGATGAGAGAACTTGTAAAGAATCCGCACTCCAACATACAGCAACCAGACGAGGCGAGGCGTGAGACAGAGGGGCAGGGATGAAGCCGGGATGGGAGAGGCGAGACGAGGCCAGATGAAGCGAAGAGGAGATGAGATGAGACTTCCCCGGCCCAAACAATTCCCTCGGTCCACTAATAGTACATGTGCTGCTGCCCTCCTCCCACCCCTCCTGAATTTACTCCCGACCCTGCCCGATATGCATCGTACCCTGCCCCTCCACTTCCCACCCCAGGCACCCCCCCTGCTGCACCCCCCATCCCTGGCCCCACCCCTCCCGGCCCCATTCCCCCTCCCATCCCCCCCATCGCCCCCAGCCCCCCCATACCCGGCCCCATTCCCCCCATCCCAGGCCCCATCCCCCCCATCCCAGCCATTCCCCCCATCCCCCCCATGCCCGCCATTCCCCCCCCAGCCATGCCCATGCCCATGCCCATACCCATGGGCATGGCGCCTGCTTGTGCGGCAGGGGGCATGAGGGCACGCAGGCGCTGGTACGCCAGCAGGTCAGCAGCAGACGGGCCGCCAAACGCGCCCGCAGGGGCGGTGTAGGCAGGGGGGGCGGGAGGCGGTGGGGGGAGGCCGCCAGGGGTTGTGGTGGCGGAGGGGGGGGTGGGCTTGCTGCCCCAGGAGCACTGCAGATGGGGGGAAGGGGATTGGGGGGGGGGGGAGGAGAGGGGGACATGTGGAGGAAGCACAATATTTCAGTGAGCAGTGGAATAGATATGTAGTGACAGTGAGAAGAGTAAACCACAGCGAGGGGCACAGCCAAAAACGGCACAGGCATGAAGCGCACAGTCTCCAATCCAGCCGAGCCTAACGCAACTCAACCCAGAGAAGCCCACCTTGACGGATTTCCCGCAGATGACGCGGCCATTGGCGGCCTGGATGGCAGCAGCGGCCTCTTCGTGCGTGCGGTAGCGCACAAAGCCAAAGCCCTTGTCGCGCTGCACGCGCACCTCCTCTATGATGCCCACTCCCAGCGCGTAGAACTGCCGGTGCAGCTCCGTCTGCGACACCTGTGCAGGGGGGAGTGGGGGGGAGTGGGGGAGGGAATGAGGGTGGAAGACAAAAACGAGGTGAGAAGCGGGTGGAGAACGGCGATAGAGAAGTGGGAGGGGGAATGGGATTGGGACGAGAAGCTAGAGCACCTCTGAAGCAAACTTGTCCACATAAACCGTTGTGTTGTGAACCTCACTCACTGGCATGCGCTGCTCCTTTGGGTCCGCTCAGGCATCACCTCATTAACACAGCTGCTTATGTACTCAGTGCCTTACCAAACCTCTCCTCGCAAAATGCTCACATATCCGGTTGTGATCTGTGCAGTGCTCCCTTGAATCGCCTGAAAGTCACCCTACCTCACCTCACAGCGCTGCTTGTGTCACAAGACAATAACATCCGGTGTGCCTTATTTCTTACAGCATGCTGCATTGCATTGCATTGCATACCTCTGAGGCCAAGTTGCCCACATAGACTGTTGTGAACTGTGCACTGCTCGTCGTACCAGGCCCCCCAGCCGCCGCAGCAGCAGCAGCAGCAGCAGCCGCGCCAGCAGCAGCAGTGCCCGGGGCCCCTGCAGCAGCGGCTGCGGCCGCCCCTGGTGCTGCTCCTTGTGAATCATTGTCTGCCATGCCATGCGCCAGGGACATGCAGAGGATACCAGGTGGTGGTTCGAGTCAAGAGGCATGGTAGGTGATCTTTGGTTGGATCGGCTTGAAAGTAACTTTTAAGTCGACTCAAACAGCAGGTGGTACGAGTCAAGAGGCATACTGAAATGTGCCAGGGTTTCGCAGGGTAACAGGAAGCAAGACCACATAGCCGCATGCAGGTAGTAGGAGCATTAGGGATTGAGGACAAGTGGTGCAAGCAGGAAGGGTGGCAGGAGGAGAGGTGGAATGGGGAGATGTGGAAGGAGGGCAAGTGACAGAGCAGCTCATCATACGCTAAACCAATTTAGTGTGTGGCGTAACGCTAACAACTGCACACACAGACAACACACAGCACCCAGCACAGCACCACACATCACAGCACGTCACATCACAACACAACCAAGCGCAGCACAGCACAATACCGGTCACTCTCCCACCTTTTGACTCGTGCTTGACGGAGCCATTCGCCCCTCCATCTGCACCCTCCGCCCCTGACTGCAACACTGCTTGTTGCGATGCCGCCTGTTGTTGCGCCTGCGCTTGCTGCTGCTGCTGCTGCTGTTGTGGCAACACCACCACTGGCTGTTGCTGCTGTTGCTGCTGCTGCTGGTGCTGCTTGGAAGCATCGTCCATGGCTTGGTTCTTGGTGGCCCAGTTGCATCGAATGGGCCGGGTTCCCACCCACTTGCCTGTCATCTCTGTTATTGCTGCCTCTGCGTCCTGAACAGGCGAGATATACCGAAACGTAATGTGTGTGTATTGGTGTGGGTGAGGGCGAGGGAAAGGGTGAGGGTGAGAAGGCGAGGGCGAGGGCGAGGGCGAGGGCGAGGGTATGGATGAGGATGAGTATGAGTATGAGCACGGTGAACAAGCAGAACAGCTCACGGGACCAAGGATACGAGCAGGAGGAGAGAGTTACAATGCCGTAAGAGTGCCAGCAGTGAGATTCGAGACAAAGCCACAGATTTCGCTGCTGGCGTACGAAATGGTGGAGACTCAAAAACAGATGCATGGACGGAACGGCGGGGAGAGAGAGGAAGGTGGTCGGATGGGGCAACATAACAGAAGCATGAGGAACAGCCACAGCACGGCCTTTGTGCCAGTCATAGCACGGTCCTTATTAAGCTGCCTTAGCCCAAAGACGGGTGTGTGGTGTGCTGTGGTCTGTGGTGTTCTGTTGTGTGTGGTGTGCTGTGGTGCAGCGCGGTGCGGCACCAGCTCACCAGTAATCTGCATCTAAACGCCAGACACAAAGCGGGCCATAGCCCGGCGTTTCAGCCAGCCCCGACTGCATACAGGGGAGTGTGTGGCGGTGCAGTGCAGTGCGGTGTATGCATGCAGTGAGGCGGCAACTCAACTCACCAGTTGGCTGCGGAAGGACACAAAGCCATAGCCTCTTGAGCGGCCTGTCCGATGGTCCCACATGACCCGCGCGTCCCTGGGGGGAACCGGGGGAGCGGGAAGGGGGGAAAGGAGGGAGGCGTGGCCGAGACGTAGAGGTGACAGAGGAGGAAGAAGTGATGTTTTGGGGGGAAGAGAGAGGGGGGAGGTGAGGAGGGGGGTTTGGTGGGGGCAAGGGGCGGAGTAAGGATGGAGGGTGTACGGATAACGATGTGCTACTTGTCGTGCTCACCGTACAGCAAGTAGACAAGTAGCACGTCGTCATCAGTTTGTACTCAAAGGAAACTCAAAAGACAAACTGATGCCGGAGGAGAAAGGCAGAGAGGAGAAGGGCAGGCAAGAAGGTTGTGCATGGTTGGGAGGGGTTGGGCTGAAAAAGGGATTTCTTGGGCGCCTCAAAAATCACACAGGCGTTGGGATGGTGAGGCACCGAAAAGAGGAGAGGCAGGGAGAACGGGTGAAGGAAGAGGGACGACTGGGATACGGCAGGAGGCCAGGGCGTGGCAAGAGGAGCGAGATGGGGGGGTGGGGAGAGAGGGGCAAGAGGGGCGAGAGGAGAGGGGAGAGGGGAGAGAGGGGCGAGAGGGGAAAGAGGGGCGAGAGGGGAAAGAGGGGCGAGAGGGGAAAGAGGGGCGAGAGGGGAAAGAGGGGCGAGGAGAGAGGGGCGAGAGGGGAGAGAGGGGCGAGAGGGGAGAGAGGGGCGAGAGGGGAGAGATGGGCGAGGAGCAAGAAGGGCAGGCAGTGAGCAGCTGTGCGTACGAGCAACTGGGGAAGGTGCTGAAGGCGGCAAAGAGCGAGGCATCTGTGACCTCTGGACCCAGGTCGCCCACGAATATGTTCACATGCGCTGGTGGTGGGGAGGAGGGGGAGGATGAGGAGGAACGGGAGGGGCAGGATTGGGAAAATCTTGGATGCTGCATCAGAACTCGAGGCGTCTGTGACCTCTCGACCCAGGCCGCCCACGAATAAGTTCACATGCGCTGGCGGGGAGGGTGGAGGGAGCGTGAGTAAGAGCGGAAGGGTGGGGGTTGAGGAGGGGAGTGTTGAGATGCAGGTCAAGAGCCGGGGGGGCGCACTAAGGGCGTGGAAGATGGGAGCAGCCAAACGAATTTGTCGCTTTTTTCGGGCGGTTCTGACGACTGCGAAACATCTAGGCCAACGTCCACAGACGGTAATTACATAGTAGTCTCCCTGAATTTACCGAAAATCATAGGTATTTCCGGATGTGTATGTCCCCATGACCTTTCGGGGCCTCGATGTAGACTTTTTCTCGGCATGGGGATCGCTACTTGACTTCCTGGATTAGTCCCCAAATGTGCTTGCCTAAACCCCGTTCGAACCCCAAATGTGTATCTGCTACACACTCTTTGCCTATCCACTCCACTGATACTCCACACCACGCCCCGTTCGAACAATGAAACAGGGATTAAACTGATTGGTACAGTACAATAATGTGGGAGGTCTTCAGTGGGGTCCCCACGTGCTGGCGAACAGACAGGTCTTTGTGTTTGAAATGTGTGGCGGGGTTCGCTTATAATGTTACAAACTTTGCAATCGCCAGAAACACACATGTGGTCGACCATTTGTGCTTGAGTCTTTCCCATCATCCACGCCCTAACGGGAATAGAGGGTAAAACGCGGTTGCAATGGGCAAGGCTGAGGGGCGTGAGGGGGATGAGGGGCGCGAGGGGCATGAGAGGGATGAGGGGCATGAGCAGTGCGTACTTGAGGTGTCTTCTCGGTTAGTGCTGGCATACGCCCAGTTCACCTTGATCGGCTGCCCAAACCTGGTGCACGCACACAGGACACAGCACACAGCACACAGGACGCATGCAGGGATGCAGGGGGATACAGACATGCCCACGCACACGCACGCACACACACGCACGCATGCACACATAGAGGCTAGCTTTGAGTCGACTAACAAGCAGAAGCCGGTGCAGAAACAGGCCATGGGACCCATGCATGGGATGGCATATCATGCCTGCACTGCACACACAGTCTGTACTGTTTCGTCCGACAATGGCAACTGTCCAGCCCAGTGGCTTGTGTGACCCACTCCACTCATTACACAGACATGGGGGGCTACGCTTGACAAAAACGAGTTTGGGAGACAGAATGAGGGGAGATTGATGGAGGAGAGGGCGGAGGGGACTTTGGAGAAGAAGTAGAAGAAGAACAAAACAGCACGGAAGTGCATGCATGTAAGTGATGAAAGATGAAAGGTCGGAAAGCTCGGAAGCCCTTCCCGATCCTCACAGATCGTTTTTGCGCCTCGTCTGCTTCAACTCAACTCCTCAAAACTTCTCCACACACATGCCCATCCCCCGGCCCCACGGCCCTCCTCCTCCCTGCCCGGACCACGCATTAACCCAATGCTCGCATTCTCCCTCCTGCCTAGCCTTCCCTTCCTATTCCACTTAAAAATCCCTCCCTACTACGGTGTCCGCCTTCAAAACACTCCACAAGCGTTGTCATCCATTCAGCACACTCCACACAACATTAATAAAAAAAGCTTAACAACACCACGACACATCCAATCCCCCACTCCTCCCGTCCAGCCAGACCCTAAACCTCCAGAAAAAAATAACAAAAGACCATGCCACGAAGTTGTGTGTGCGAGCAGCAGCGGCTTACAGGAGGCGGCCGTTGAGTGTGAACAGCGCTGCCTGCGCAGATCGATGGTCGTAAAAATCCACAAACCCGTACGACGACTGGAGCATGCCCGCACAGCACGGTTGGTGATGGTGACACGTGGCAAGTGGCAGAGACACGTGGTCGTGACGTGGCGGCGATCACGTGGGGCGCAAAAGGAGAGACGAACGGGAATATGGGAGACGCAGAGTTTTAGTAGCAAGTGAGGGAGAGTCGAGAAAAAGAAGACAAGAAACGAGAAGTTCAGTAGTAAAACAGCAAGAGGTCAGGCAAACGCGCACTTGCAAAACCCTTGAAACGGAATCCACAGATCCGACCCTTGAAACGAGTTCCACATATCCTTCGACTTGTAGGGGCAGCAGCGGAAGAGCAAGCAGCAGCATGAAAATCACTGATCAGTGCTAAACCCGTGGGGGCAATCACTCACCTTGTCCTTGCGAATGAGCTTGCAACCCTCCAGCGGGCCGAGCGCGGAGAAGATATCCCCAAGCATGGGCTCCGTGACCTTGGTGTGCACGTTCCCCACGTACCTGCGCGCCAAGCCCCGCCCCGCCCCCCGCGCGCGCACACACACCCCGCGCGCAGCACACGGAAACCACGCGCACAGCACACGCAGACACGCATCGCAGAGGATTGGGATGCAGGAATCAATGCACCGAAGAATCGAGAGCTTGAAAACTAACGGCGAGGGTATCCGTGGATGCGCGTCAGCGCATGGAAGGAAACGGCGGCTGATGCGCCATTGACAAGGCTTGTTAATCCCTCGCGCAGACCAGCATTAAGCTTTGAGAGGCTGGGAACAGCCTCCTAAACAAAAGAAATAAAAAAAAAAGGACCGGAGTAACCATCTTCTTAACGACGAAAAGCCCTGGCGACATATTGACCTTCTGACTGCTAAGACACTCACACGCTGCGACAAGAAGCCGGATCAAAGCCGGGCGGGAGACTACCACTCTGAACAGAGTCAAGCTGCCCAAAAAATAAGGGAAAAAAAAACATTAAAACAAAAAACAAAACGCGAAACCCTCAGCCGGAGAGCTGCACTAGAGGAGAGACGGGAGCGAACGAAAGCTGGTAATTATCGATTGCCGAAGGACAAATAAAAGCTAACACTAATTACAAACGTCCAGCTAAGGAAAAACGTTTACAAAACTAATGACGAACGTGGCTGAGTAATAGCCTCGTCACGACCTTGAGTTGTTAATCATCCAGCAACGACACGCTGAGCGCGATTTAACGTTCTCGTGCGAACACTATTTTATTATTTTCTTTTTTCGGACCAAACTAAACAAACAACCCCAACCTGATCTGTTGATCTGTTAAAACCCCAACCTGATCTTCCAGCAGCATCTTCAGCTCTAAAATAACAATAACTTGTTAATCGGCTCGCCTTTAATAAGCGGCCACATTAGTGCGATCAGTACGATCAGAAACAAGCACAGCGCGATCGACTGATAGTTTCCGCGTAAAGAACGTGCTCTGCTTTATCAGGACAAAAAAAAAAAAAAAAAAAAAAACACGATCGGACCTTACCGGGGTCATGGCCGCGGCTGACATGAGGCCTGGGTGGAACATGCCGGGCTGCTATTGCTGCTCCTGCTACTTCTGCTGCTGTTGAAGCTGCTACTGAAGCTGCTGCTGCTGCTGCTGCTGCTGCTGCTGCTGCTGCTGCTGCTGTTAAAGCTGCTTCCGCGGTTGATGATGCTGTTCCTGATGCTGAAGCTTCTGTAGCATAACACCCTGCTGCTGAGCTGTAAGTTAGTGTCTGCTGGTCGCCGTACGGCGTTTCGTACTTGTGCTGTTATGAATGATTGACACCTTTTGCAACCCTCGCGGCTACCCCTCCTACCTAATCGAACTCGTTTCTTTAGGGTTGGCAGAACCTATTCTGACTGACCTCGACCGCACGAGATGCTACGTCCTCCTCACGTACGCGACATCGGCAAGCTCGTTGTAAAAGAAGACATAAATCTCCGCGAAGCTAGGATCTGGATCACTGAGGTCGAATGTAAAAGATTTAAGTATTTTCCAAGCATAGGCGACTAGCTGCTTAGTCGTCGAGCTCTGAAACCAGCATTATGCAAGGTTGGACCTTGCCGCGACTATCCAAGACTGGGATTGTACCAAATCGGTGGGCAAGCTAGTTTCGACGAGGCGAGCGAGTGAAAAAGAGAGGAGCTGGGGGTTCAAGTGGTGGAGGGAGGATCAAGGCGGGGAGGGAACAGAGTGCCAGGCAGGCTAGGCTATGTGCTGCTTTCTAGGCGGGAGTCAAGATTCATTGACTCGATTTGTTGCGACGCGTTATGATCCATTCAAAACAAATCGTCAATCTAATAAAAATTGCTTTTATTCCACCCTAGCATCAAGCATGGACCATGGCTAATGCTAAGATTCTTGCTACCTCTTACAGTTCAGGCCCCTCTGAAAAACACTCTGTAGATTCTGAAACAGGGAAAAAAATGCTAAAATTTGGTTCGGGTGTCGCGTGATGCTTCTGCGCGCCTTGTTTTTTGTCACCTCCTGCCGTCGGTCGAGCGAGTGCACTTTCTCCAGGCCGCGACGGCGAAAGAGTTTTCGGATGCTATTGTTGCTCGTCATGCCTTTCCTCATCCCTGATCTCCCTTGTATTATCCACTGTCGCTGACATCATTACCCATCTGCACGCACTTGACTCTATGTACGTTGCTTGCACTGCTAACGACCTTGCTGAGCACGTCCCCCCTTATATATCTCACCCTGCACCCCCTCTCAACCCGCCTCCCTGACCACTTCGTGCCTGCCCGGGACGCCCTCCTCTCCATGCACCCCATGCGTCTCTCCATCGACCTCTTTGAGAATAGGCTTACTAAGATCGAGACCCTCTTCCGCACCATCTCCTTTAAAACCCGTGCAGTTGTACCCCCCATCTTTGAGGGGGCACTCCGCCCATGTTCCCTACCCCAGCTGTATCTGTTTTTGTTCCTGAGCCTACTGCTACAGTGAAGGTCGCGGCCGACGTTGCCCCATCTGGTGGGCGGGGACGGCGCAGTTAATGGTCGTGGAGGAGGTGGATGTACTGGAAGGTCGGGTGTGCTGACGCTGGAGTGTTGGTTCTTGGGGTTGTTGTCGCAGGAGGTGTTGGTACTGGCAGTGAGACGATGACTCTGCAGTAGCAGCAACAGATCCAGCAATAGGTCTCCTAGCGGCTGTAGAGACCTGCTGGCAGGGGAAGCATTGGACGCGGTGGCGGGTCTGACAGCTCAGCATCATCTAGCCTCCCTTACTGGCCTTGCCTGTACCAGATTCAGTCTGGTCCACTGCGCGGCACCGTGCAGGCGCCCGGTAATTCTACTTCGCGCTGCTTCCGCCAACTCGACGACCTCTTCTGCGCCCACTTCGCGTCTACTGAGTCTGTCCCGGACTAGCCTGTAATATTACACAAGGGTTTGGCTGTGTTTGATCTTAACATATCTCATACAGAATCTGCTTTGTATGGCATGTATGTTGATAAAATTAGTGTTGCCAGATCTTATTATTTGTGTGTTAATAGACTGGTTTCTCTAGCTATCTTTAGTGTAGGATTCTTTGGTGCTTCTTGCCCAGGTGCTTCAATTGCCGTCCCAGTGATTCTTTCGCAACTGCACCACCCTCTTACTGCTTCCAAGTCATGTCGCAGTCTCCTTGGTTGAACCCTCCTCTGGGCCGATCGTCGCATGCAGCGCCACTACACTCTCGTGTTCGGCAGTTTCCTCTGGCTCCTTCACAGGTGTACACATCCCTTCAGTCTCCATGAACTTGGTAGGTTTCAGACGTCTTCCGGACCTCGATGTCACCACCACGCTACCTGGACATGAGTGGTTTGCGATCTGTACGGAGGCTACCACTTGCCACATGCTGTCGTCACCAGCGGTGAGTGAGGCAGTGATTTTTGAGACGTCTCAAAAAGCAGTGAGTGCCGGTGTGAGTGGCATTGAGCTGCACATTGATTGGACATCAGTATCTTTGTGGGTTAGGCCTCTGCTCATCCTTCTGCTCCTCTTGCACGCTGGGGTGCGGCCGTGCGCTGCTGTGCACGCGCTGTACACGCAGATCGCGGCATGAGTGCTGCGCGCGGCGTGCGTGCCGCCCCTGCCGCGCCCTGCGGTGTGCGCGCTGCGCATATGGCTATGTGCTGCATGTGGCGTGCGTGAAGCGTGTCACCAGCGTGCCAGCAGCCCACGAAGCATGTCCTACCGTTGTTCCTAGATTCTTGTTTCAGTCGCGTCTTCGCCTGTAGCTGCGCCTCTGCTCTCTATGGATTCCACTATGATTTCCAAGTTTGTGCTGCGCTTTGATGCGGAGCACCCGCGATCGATATTGACATGTAACAACAGCTGATGATGGATTTTGTTACAGGATTGCTAGCCGATGTCGGCGGCAACGACTCAGTGTTGGTTGTCATCGATTGATTAACGAGGATGGCGCACTTCACATCATGCCGCACGATGATTATAATCGAAACACAACAACAATTTTTATCTGGACCACCAATTTATACCCAATCAGACCATGGAGTAGGCTGGCCGAGTCAAAGCAAGAACTTATATCTACAAGGCGGATATCGCTGCCAGTCGCACCGCCAATAGGTATCGTTGGTACTTACCATCGATCGCCAGATGGCTGGTATTACTGAATAGCAAAGAACCTTCGGTTGCTCGAACGAGCAAAACTTTGCCCAAGGTTCGTAGGACCATTCTGATTCATCAAGATTTTGACACCAATTACGACAAAATAACAGTTGCCGGATGATTGGTGATTTGTTCTATGTCAGTTTGCATGATATCTGATATGGTAAAATGGAACGTAGACACACCAATATATGAATGGTAAACCCTAAAACTTTCAAGGCTAACACATAAAGTGCAACCTATTTCCAACACAATCCCTAGGCCGCAAGAACCCCAAGGCCCGTGGCTCCAAGTAGACAGTAATGTTCAAGGCGGCCAAGGGCCTTGGTGAACAAGTCAGCCAGGCTGTAGTCGGAAGATACATGCTTCACACGGAGCTGTCCATGTTGCACTAACTCCTGAGGGAAGAATTGTTGAAGCTCAATGTGCTTGGTGCACAGATGAAACACCCGGTCTTTGGTGAGATGAATGGTGCTCTGATTATCACACCATACAGTCAAGCTCGTTTTCCTGCCGCCATGGTGCTCGGATGCAACTCGGCCTCACATGATAAGAGGGATATGGAAGACGAGTGAGTGGATCGCTAACTAATGACCGACGGTCAGTTTGGTCGTCGGTCCATGGCGAGTCACTGCATCCTTGAAGCTGTGGTGAGAATGTCCCAAATATTGTAAGAACATAGTCCTTGACAGCCTGTAGATAGCAAAGAACCCATTTTGCAGCAGTCCAGCGAAGATCTGTAAAGAGGCCAGCAGCGACAAGGCAAGATAAAATGCTAATGGAATATGCAAGATCAGGCTCTGTACACATCATGGTGTACAACAAGGACCCAACAATCCCATGCAAG